CACAAGTAACGAAAAAAATTATTCCAATAAACTATGAAATAGTCATAGTAAAGAGTTAATAATATGAGGCAAGCATGTTTACTCAATTTCATCTTGCCCTTGTTATTTGGGACTGCAACTGATCAGTCACTTGTTTGCATATATGCATCTTGTGTGAACTGCCTTGATATTACCTTAAGTCAAAAGCTTTAAGAGCAAAAATGTAAAGTAGCTAGCAGCAGAATCCAGGACGAGGGTTCCGCACTATTTTGAACTCGTCAGTTGGATATTTCTGCATTCTTGAGTTGATGTTCACTCTGGGATTCGAATCCAATAACATTCACTTCAAACGCGATCGCATTATCTTTGCTCATAAAATTGTGACCTAAGACAATATTAAGGCGGTCAGCACAGAATGCACATATGCAAACAAGAAACTGATCACATGCAATCCTAAATAACAATGGGAAGTTACAAATAAAAAACACCAAGTGAATTTAAAACTTCACCCCATTGCACAAGCAGGTGGCTATCAGGACTCAGTGGCTAATTGAGTAACGCGATGGCATTTGAAGCGAACGGTACTGGGTTCGTGTCCCAGAGTGGAGTCCAGGATACACGTTTCGTCCACTGCTAGCCACTATCCATCTTTACTTATAAAGCTTGTGACCTAATGGCACATATGCCAACAAGAGACTAATCAATTTCAGTCTTAAACACCAATGGGAAGATTCAAGTAAACAATATCAAGTGAATTTAATACGATTTCATCAGTTAACAATTGAATAAAAGCGACTAAAACTAAAATATTCATAATGCTATTCGTGTCCAACTGAACATATACATTATTTGAAGTAATGTCCAATAAATCTAATAAAAAAAAGATATTAATATCTAATAAAATTCTCTGTAATTTATGTATTACATAATAAATCACATAAAAGCCAGTTTCTTCTTGCTTAGTCAATGAAAATACATAAATAAACTTGGAATATATATAAGTAAATAAGCTTTGACTGAAATAAAATTAATTTCATACAGTTTAATAATAGTGTTGAATAGTTTGATGTGTTTTAATAAATCAATGGTTGAAGTTATATATGTATATACTAGTCGGCAAATATACATAAATCATTGTCTATACTAAAATCACATAAAATATGATTTCATAATAGAATTAAAACGATCAGTATTAATTCATGTCCCTTGATACTTGAAATACATCAACATTACATAAAATAAAAAGCGGAATACATACTTTATCAGTTCTGCATATTGTTATGGTTTGTTTGTTTGTTTTTTTCTTCCAATGAAACATTGTATAAAGTAAAAATAGGAAAAAGTCTTAGTTTATGACTGAGTATATTGTGGAAATATTTCGATAGTTCGGTAAAAAGAAATTCAGCTATTCTCTATTATGTTGTGTATTAAAAAAAGATGTGACAAACGTTTATGTTATGTAAAAATCAATCTAGAAGATTAATATTATTATTAGAAACAATATTCATCAGTCGTTTTTTCGAATATACAAAACTTAGTAATAAAGATAATTATTACTTCAAGTGATAATAATTGTCCGACAGAAGAAAATATCACATAATTTAGTGAAATATTGATATTCATGAATATTAGAAGCTAATAGTCACTGACGTAATCTAATTTTTTTCTAGTGTGAAATAAGGACTTAAAAATATAATAAGGATAAACTATGGTAACTTTAGGATAAAACGAAAAACTGAACTCAAAATTTATTTTTAATTTATTTTAAAAATTGTACAATAAAGAACTATGGAAACGTTGTGATATTTTTTTCAGGATGTGCTTCCCTTCCTCCTCTTTTTTTTAAACATTCATAGACTGTGTCATTTTTTGGGGGGGGGAATTCTTATGTAAAAGAAAATCAATAGTTGGTATAGAATAGTAACTGATATAGATTGTTTTTTTAACGGAAGCATTAACTCCATTAAAATCTTTTTTTTCCATTAAGGTCACTTCCCTAAACTGATTTTGTCAGTATATTAACATGAAAATTATTTTGTTTTAATAGTATTTATTAAGAAGGTAATTGTTCAGAAACGCTCTCAATAATATGAATTCTAATCGAATGTTTGGGTGGTACCTTTAAATCTAAAATTATTTACTGAAAGTTATGAGTAAGAAAATCAATCTGCTGATTAACGTATCTCCATTTGTATAGTTGTTTTAATGAATGTAATGTAATTAAAGGAATATCTCTATGAATTATCCATTATTAGATTGATAATAGATAGCATTTTATTAAGCAAACATCGATATATATATATATATATATATATATATATATATATATATATATATTGTATACATATTGTATACATATAAAGCAACAATGAATTTCAGTGTATTGAATGATTCACAAATCTACAAATGAGAAATATCACTGAAATGACGGAGTTGATCTGAAAAACGTGATGTAATTGTGCAAAATCAATTCGTCCTAACCTTGAATTTACCCTGGTAATCCTCATACCATTTTATGGCCTGGGGTAATGCGATAATCTTCTATTCTTTCTATACGAGGTTAGTTTTTTCCTCTCTCCTTTATTTACAATTATTACTTTGCTTACATGAACCTTCATTTAGCTGACCTTTATTAATTTTCATATAAAATGCCTTGACAAGTATATGTGTGATCAGACTGTTTGAATACATCACATTTTTCAGATCAATTCCATCTTCTCATTGTTTTATAGAAATATCAATACTGTACATTTGTTATAACTGACTAATTATGATGTTTGATTTCGGGTTGGTTACTTTTATATTTGTTTACATCATAAATTGACACCAATGGAAGATTCATCGATGAAGAATGAAAATTAAACAGATGTTTTGCACAAGTTTGGAATTCATACACACACAAACACACAAACTTACACTTGATAAAAGTCAGGACATTAATGAATCACTATAGACAATGAGAACGTCAGATTACTAAATCGGAATCCAATGATTCAAATGAACAACTTCACTTTATTGTTTAAATTAAATCTAAAACTACCATATATACATTTTCCCATATTTCTTCTTATTTCCTTGACCATTAATAAGATGCTGAATCGAATCAGAGCAAACTTTAGATCACTAGAAAGTGTTAGATTTTAACAATCACGAAAAAATGCAAATCTAGAATAAATGCACTAAAATACTTTTCCTAATAAACATTTAAAAATGAATAGAGGATAACAGTCGTCCAAGGTGAAAAGGACATTTAATCTATGTCTAGTAATTCATTTGTCTGATTTTTATAAAAGTGAATAGTAACAGAAAAAAATTAGAAAGTTGAAAGAAAAAAAAGTAAGTTAATTTTTAATCAATTATTTTATTTCTTCAGAAATCGATCCGAAAACTAAGACATATTTATCATGAATCTTGATGATAATAATGACTGATATCGCTCTTAAGATGAACTGATATGTATTAGTTAGAGAAATATCAGATTATACTTAATGGATAGTTATATTTTATTGACCTTTCCTCTTATTAAAATTGTATAGTTTTGATATTTTGATTGGAAAATGCAAAAGAAACGATTGATTTTAAGTTATTCATACGGAATTATATAAGTAGTCTTCAGTTTCTTTTATAACTTATAATGATAACATTAGGACAAAAAAAGTTTACATAAATGAATTTTTAAGTAAATTGTAAAATCTGTTCATTATGTACCATGATATTAAATTTTTTTTAGAGAGGACAAACCAACTTTCAGATAAAGAGGAAATGAAGAAAAGACGGTTGAAATGGATAAGACATACATCACAGAAATCGTCAAACTACATTACGAATCAATTAATAACTTGGAATCGTGAGGAGAAACGGAAAAGGAGAAGGTCAAAGAACACACTACTTCGAGAATTGAAAGCAGATATGAATAGGATGATTAACAACTGGAAAGAACTGGAAAGGATTGTTCAGGATAAGGTTAGTTACAAAATGCTGGTAGGTGGCCTATGCTCCTCCATTTAAGGTAACAGGCGAAAGTAAGTAATTCATTAATTAAATAGTGATTTTGTAAATGAAGAAAACGAATTATTAACATTCACTTTTAAAATCATAAATTTTGTTAGTCAATATAATAGAAATCGTGAAATCATCAGAAGAGAAAATCGATGAAAATAGAACATAAAATTTTGTCGAAATTTTGTCACTTTTTTTTATTGAAACTAATTTTGAGTTGGGTTATCTGTTTTTTGTATAAAATAATAAGTTTATTCAAATAAGTAGTATATTGTTTAAATATTTACTAAAGTTGTAATTACGTTAAAAAAAATTTCTAAAAAGAATCGCTAGATGGTAACCTCTATGATGAAATACAAGATCATATTCATTTTTTATGAATCTATTGTAGTTACCACTGAATGGATGTGAAATAAGTTTTAGGACAGGTCAAATAAAGTTTTTGACTACCCAGCATAAGATTAAATCTGTAACATATAGGTCTGTTAGTGAATATGATACTTTTAAACTACTTACTCAGAATCAAATGATTTGACTTTTAAAATTTAGCTAGTTCGTTGACTTTTGTTGTATTTCTGCTTCAACACCTATATTTCTTTATGGTTACCGCAAAATTTGGATGCCAACAGAATCGTCTTTTATGGTTGTATGCTTCTGATGAGTCGTGGACTGGGAAAAAATTACTATACAGTGCTCATTGCTGCTGTTATTCCCGGAAGAATATTACTTCTTGATGATATAAAACATCTGCTTAGCTAATCGTGTTGTCTGTTTTAAAATTTAAATAATTGCTTAGCTATACGTTTAAAACTTTCGAACTGGCATAATTTGTCATTTTTTTCCATTGTAATTCAAAATATATAAAAACTACTTTAAAGTAAAAGAGGTTCACCAAACTTAACACTCATAGCTACTGATAAAAATACGCTTAAAATTCAAAAAAATAAATTTGAAAATATTATGTTCATAAAATATCCAACTGTTACGTAGTACAACTGATTTACTAATATTATCACACTTACTTTCCGTGATTTACAGACTCCAATCAATGGAAGTATTTCATGTTTTGAATGTGTTTCAAATGTTTGTGAATTATCATTACTTATGCATTCATTACACACTGGTATATGACAATTAACACAATACAGATTTGGTATTATATTTAAATGTGACATACATGGTGTAGGTTGATTACGTTGTTTTTGTCTAATTATCTTTACACCTTCAGTTGCTGAATGTAATGCATGACGATTTAATGGTCCACGAGCTGGATGACATTTTTCACGACATCGTGTGCAATAAAATATTTCACATTGTTCACACCAAAATGTTGCTAAACAATTTTGTTCATTCACTTCAGTTTTATTGGTTTCTGAAGATAATGGATTTTCCGTTGGGATATTAGGTTCTTCACATAACTGGCAAAGTGGTCCACCTGGTCTATTAATTGGGTCTGTGTTATTGTTTAACAAAATGGTTCCAAGTCTGCACTCACTTTTAGTGAATGAGGTGATTGATCAGGGCCTACAAATTTAGATATTATCCGTTCAAGAGCACGATTTCTCGGGAGATGACTTAGTCCCTTATCATCAAAAAGACCAACGACGTGGTTACATATGGGACATATTAGGCCACTTGAAACTTGACTTATTGAAGATGAAGAGATACTGTAGGTTTGACTCGGACCTAAACCTGAGGTTGATGAACATATTATAACGGGTAGTCTTCCCACATAACTACCTGGTCGACTGCTAACAATTACACCAGAATCCGTCTCGCTAACAACACTCATTTGATCAGAATCTGAAGGTATGATGGAAGTACAACTCATAATTTGTGTGTTTCCTTGTGAGTTAGAAGTACTGGGACAACCTATACTACTTCCTGTTGTCGATGAAGACGAGGATGAGGATTGAGGAGGACCACTGGCAGGACTAAATGTCTCGGCTGTTGATAAGTGCAGCGCTGCTGCAATCGATGCCGCTATGCTTGGTTCGCTAGCGGGGAGTAGAGCTCCAGCTGCACATAAATTGCACAGGGAATGTCCACATGGTAACAATAAAGGACATTGGAAAAATCGCCTGCAAGATGGGCAACGTAATTCGGAATCCATTTTATGCACAGCTGTAAGTGTAGCTGCTATAGTGTGTTGACCAGCTGAGGCTTGTGCACTACCAGTGCTTCCACTGCTCGATGCACTCATGAGACTTGAAGCAGAAGAACCCAGCATAGGCTTCATAGAAGATTACTTCACAGATAATTATTGAAAATAGTTCTTGTAACAATATTTATGGTAATGTTAGCAATAAGATTTCCATAAGGAGTTGTGCATAAATAAATTATCCATATATTTCGTTATAAATCCTTGCAAGATTATAAACGATATCCGTTAATTTCTATATAATGTTACAACTAATTATATGAATAATAATAATAATAGTTCAAAAATAGCCCTCAATAAGTTAATGTACTATCTTAATGTATATTTATCTATTTTATCTTAAAAGCTGCCTATTTGGCAAAGCACATAAAATTATAGGTAAGGGATAACAAATATAGACATGTAAGAGAATTCTGAGGTAAAACAAATAAAACAGAGTCAGAAAGATGTAACCTGATTGGTTGAATAGAAGATATGATGACTTTCTATTAGTTGTATTTTATTTCTCCTCATTGACCTAATTGAAGATTGAACAGGCTAGTATAGTCAGTTGAAACAATCAAAGTAATAACTACAATCATATAAACTAGTTATAATAGCATAAAATAACAATTTTGTCAACTCTGAAGTAAAACATGGCATATAGCTACAATAGCTAGGCTAAATCAATAATATAATAGTGATTCGAATATTATGCAAAGATGGGTTGTAGCCATCAGTGGAATCCAGGACGCGCGTTTCGTGCTATTTGGGACTCGTTAAATGACTGTGCCAAGATCTACTCTATGACTTTATCCTAGTACCGTTCGTCACGAACGCCATCGCGTTATCCACTTAGCTATTCATCTCTTCTTAACGATTCTTATGACTCAATATCAATGTTGAAACAATCCGTGCAGGATGCACATATGCAAACAAGAGACTGATCAATTCCAGTCCTAAACAACGAAAACAATATTCAAATAACCAATAAAATAAAGTTAATTTAATTACTTACTCTCTTATTTCACAAAGCGATTTTTAAAAAATCTAACTTTGCTAAAATTAATATTCATTGAAAGCTGACTTTAACTTCAAATGGGATGAAATTCATGGAATTGTCAGTACTTATTACCGCTGAGCAGTCCCACAATAGGACGAAACAGTCGTCGAGTGCTTCCAGGTTTTCCATGGTGGTCTACCTTCAATTGGCTCATGATCTCAACTATTGAAATCACTATAATATCTACAGAAACCCCTTCTGATATTAATACTTATTTTGTGGTTAACTGAAAGATGATGACTCATGGTATCGCTTTTCAAGAATAAATGCTGTTATAATTAATGAAGAACCTGAAAATCCTTAATTACATTTGATATAGATCAACAGTGGATATTGTTGTGGTTGAAATCAATAAAAATATATTCACTAGATTTAATAACATATCATTATTTTAATTTAATATTTCTTATCTTGTATAAGCTTCGTCACAGTTAAATTCAAGGGATTTGTTCAAAACTTTTAAGTATACATATGTTTTGTATTGACTCTAGATTAACTTCTTTGATACATTCCATTGATTACAGAAATCTGTTAATCTAGATTTGTGATGTATTTTTTTCTCGCCAACTGGAAAGATTTTCTGTAACTCTTTTTTTCATTCTGTCAGACAATATTTCAATCAACATTGAATCATTCACATATAAAAGTACACAACAGTTAGGGATGTCTCAAATACATAATATATGTATGAAAATTTCAGTAATAACACAACTGACACTAACCCGTTAAATTTACTATGAAAGTTTGAAAGGAAATTTATGATATATTATATTTCAAGAAAGTGAATAGAGCATACACTGAGAAAATCATCAAACTGCACCAAGATGCACACGATCACTTGGAATCCTAAAGGGAAATAGAAAAGAGGAAGTTCAAAGAATAAACTGTGTTGAGAATTGGAACCAAACACAAATAGAATGAATAACAATTGGAGACAACTGGAAAGGAGTTTTCAGGACAGAGTTTAATGGACCTTTGGTTCTACACGAGAGAGTATGGTAACGGATGTAAGTAAACAATATTTCAATAACTATCATAGTTCTATAAACGTAAATCTTTAGTCAAATAAATAATAACTAGCAATTGAAATACACAGGCAGCTTCAATCTAATCAATATATGTCAATGAATTAGAATTCAACTAGATCCAATTCTTACAAGTCTACAATTTAATTAAATAAACATTTTAAAATTTTCACTACCTTTCATCATCATCATCATCATCATCATCATCATCATCATCATCATCATCATCATCATCATCATCATCATCATCATCATCATCATCATCATCATCATCATCATCAAAACATGTCCGCTACATTTGAAATATATTTACTATGAATTAGATACACAAATAGTTTAATAATTTATCTCTCAAACATCAGTACTGTGTACGAATAGCTAGGAAAATGAAGAATCAATTACTGATTTTTTTATATCCAACCAAACTATAATATTCAATTCATAATTGTTGTTGACAGTAAAGTTCAGACATAGTTTTCTTTTTCCTTTCTGAATAGATGAAAGCATGACTTTTTTGTGTGATTATTTTACTTTTAAAAGAAAAAGTTACATTATTCATTGAATGAACGTCTGAAAATTATCCCCAAGGAATTGGAATCTGTCTTTGTGTAACTTTTTTTCTCTTCAATTGTCATTGATGTTCTTTTTTCCATAAAATTTTGTAGATGAATTGTATAAAGGTGTAGAACAAAGTTAATGAAAGTGAAAAAGAAAAGATCCATATTATTAAAATGAAGAAAAAAATCATTAAATTAGCATTTACTTTTACTGAAGAAACGTTTTTAGAAAAAAATTACATAATTCTAGTCTTATTTGGCATAATCATATGTTTTACGCCTAAGAAAATGTAAAATTGAACTTATAAAACATTTTCTCTAGTTATCTAAGCAAGATATCCAATATCCTTTGACCGGATACCATCAGTATATCATCAGCATACTGTGAGAGAGAACAATCCAATATCTAGATAAAGGGGGAAATTAAGAAAAGACGATGGAAGTAGATAAGACATACATCACAGAAACCATCATACTACATCAAGGGTGAAGTGCTGACTTGGAATCTTGACGGGAAACGAAAAAAAGGAAGGTCAATGAACAAACTGCGCCGAGAATTGGAAACAGACACGAAAAAGATGAATAGCGACTGAAGACAACTGGGAAGAATTTCTCAGAACCGAGTTGGATGGGAAAAGCTGATGGGCGACCTATGCTCCTCCACGAGGGGAGGGCAACAGGCATAAGTAAGTTGAAAAAACAACTACTGCTAACACATACATTATATATATATATATATATATATATATATATATATATGCATAAATTTATGGCTTGCTCACCAAGTTGTTGACAATTCCAAAACACTTTAACGTCTGGATTTCGGAACAATGAAAGCAGAGAAAATTTTTAAAAAAATGGTTTCATTTATTCACATCATTATTATGCAAACAGTATTATTGCTTCAGTTACTATACCGGTTTTATGATGATCCGTTGTCAATTTTCATTCATTATCTGACTTGTTTAATTCTAATTTGGGACTAAACTATGATATATGCCTAAAAAATTCATAAAACACCCCATAACATAGATACTGCGACAAACAATATCCAAGTAATTGATTGCATAGGAATTCAATAGATAACATTCCAAATGTCAGTTAATTTGTTATATAACGCTGCTCTCATACATTCAAGTAATAAACAATGTTTATTAATATAAGCAAAGATAGGTAGTGGCTAGCATTGGATTCCAGGATGCGCGTTTCTTCTTAGTTAGGACTCTTCAGCTGGACGTACCTGCATCCTAGACTTGATGTTCACTTGAACCCAATATCGTTTAAAAGACTAATATTTGAACGAAGAATATTCTTTTCGATAAATTCTCTTCAGGTTCTACAATTATATATCCAAATTATTAATCCGAAAAATGGCCAAGTTAAGGGTAAAGTACATCGTTTAGAGCATGTGAATTTGGGATTGTGATAAACAAAGGTTTGATGAAGAAGGTGAACAGCTCAATATTGGCCCATTTAGTACAAACCGGTCATAGTGCCAATCTTTTTCAATTATTTATAAGGTCAGTAATTTTTTGCCAAAACTGGTCAGACTGAAAGTCCTTCAAACGGCTGATGCAGTAGCCATCCGAATGAAGAAACCGGAGTTATGCGTACAGAAGAAATATATTCAGCCACTCCTCCTCCCCTGGCCAACATCAAGGCCAATTAATCAATCGTAATCTTAACTATTGAATGACCCAATTTGACTATGACCTTTCGTAGTCAATTGTAATTGTCCCTGTTATCTTTATTCATAAATCTTTGTGTTATTATTATTATTTTGATTATTACCCTGAAGAAGTCCAGACAAGCTAGCTGGACGAAACGTTGGAATTAGTTAAATTTCAATCGCTGAGAATATTTCAAATATAATTTTCACATATAATATTATTATTATTGTTATTATAGTTATTATTCGTACTATTGGTTAAATATCATTAATCTCCCCTTTACATGATTCATTCACTTCGCATTCATTCCTCCGTATTACGTCTTACTTATTTGATCGAATTGTAATTGCACTATTATTTCTGTCTCACCCTATTTGACCCATATTTATTCTGATCATGGATCTTAAAATTTCATTTAACATATACGCGGATTCATGTTAACATTTTATATGAGTCATATTAACATTAACAATTTTATTGTATTTTGCTTATCACAATCCTAAATTCACATGCTCTAAACGATGTACTTTACCCTTAACTTGGCCATTTTTCGGATTAATAATTTGGATATATAATTGTAAAACCTGAAGAGAATTTATCGAAAAGAATATTCTTCGTTCAAATATTAGTCTTTTAATATGACGGGGATCTTTAAACGACCAATATCGTTTGCTTCAAAGGCCATCGCATTATCCACACAGCGACTGAGTCCTGATGGCCTGATAGATTATTAATTATCAAAAACACAACCTAATCCTTTAAGCTGTCCAGCTACTACATTTTT